ATATGTATATACACATGTATACATACATATATTAGACAACTATCCGGCATCCAAGTACCGATTTACGGTCTTTGGACACTTTAGGGGAAGCCAAAAACTCGAAATCTTCAACCCAAGGTTCTCAAATCCTACGCCCCGAAGTTGGCTCTTGCAGCACCTCCGCCTTCAGCCACCGAAGAAGCTCCTACAGAGACTTCCACAAGGTTTCGGTTTAGCTATTAGGGTCCTATCGGCTTGATATAGGTTTATTGGGTTTCAATGGGTCTTCAGAGGGTTTGCACGGTGTTTGGGTGTTTTGAAGAGTTTAAGCTTCCATTGGGGTTCGCGGGCTCGAGAGAACTGGACCAATGCGTGGGAGTTCAGGGTAAAATCGAGTCAGTAGTTTAAGATTTTGGGAAAAAGTTTAGGTTTCGTAAGTAAAGAAACAAAAGCTCTATAGGCTCATGAGGGATGAGGGCGTTCTTGCCTGGACGGCTAAGGGCTTGGGGGAGTTGACGCTTTGGACTCGGAGCGAGCTTTGCCTTGGCCACACTGAGATTAAAATCATACAGTTGTATCATCAACGCCACTGTGGTCGTATGGCCGATGGATAATAAACCGCCAGCGTCACCCAGAATAGCAGCGCATTGCTCGGATGCGGCCACTCCAGGATGAAAGCAGAACCACCATTCTCGGCAGCGCCGGAACGATCAAGTGAACCCTAACCCCTAAACTCTACGATAATATAGTGATTCAGACTTCAAGGTCCCGGCCGTGATTTCCTGCGAGGGGTCCGATTCCAGACGCCTGGACCTTTAAACGGCTATAAGGCTTACATTCTTTTGGGATCCAGGTAGGCATTTTAAGCCCTGAAGTGCGAAACCCTCAACCCTAAACCCATAGGTAGTACTCCCCTACACCCTAAACCCTAAACTTACCTCAACACTACAGTACTGTTACTCCATGTCTGTCCTCGAGCAAGCGGAGTTTTGCCGAAGCCGCCTGCATTCAGGGCTCTCGTTCGCGGCTCTGGGCTTTGGGGCTTATTACGGGGCCCCATACTCTAACCCTAAACCCTAAACCCTAAACCCTAAACCCTAAACCCTAAACCCCGAATGGTAGGTGATGGTCTCTCTTGTTGGAGATGTGGAGCCGGGAGCTGTTCAAGAGCTTAGTTTTTTTTGTGTAGGGGTTTAGGGTTTAGGGTTTGGGGTTTAGGGTTTAGGGTTTAGGGTTTAGGGTTTAGGTTCTCCAATATCCGGATTCCTCCATTTCTTCTGGCAATGTATTGGGTTTTAAAGGCCGAAAGACCCTGTGGGCTCCTTTAGGTATGGGTTCACAACAACTTAGCGTGTTTTGTTTTTTTAATGTGCTCTTGTCCTGAAGGTTTAACCTTTTATTCACCGTTTTGTGTTTAGGAAAGTGTTCCCTTTCCACAAATGCCCCCCAACCAGTACGTGGAAGTGAGCCGAAACCCTGCATAAACCCCTACAGCCCTAAATGTGACGGTTTAGGGTTTAGGGTTTAGGGTACCCCAAATCCTGCAGAATCGTAGGTCATGACGCTCAGTTGCAAGGTAGAACCCTTCAAATGGTTGGCTTTCGGACCCCGAAGTATACCCTATTCATCCCTATACCCTAAACCCTAA